ATGGATTTCTTGTAACCCATTTAAGTCTCCTCTTTTTATTGTAATGTATGATAAGACAAGGTGAAAAACTGCCATTCTCTGGAGCATTATCTCCATCCAGTTAATTGTCGACAGTTTGGCTCAAATAAACTCACAAAAACTCTTTACAGGTGTGAATGTTTCTTTAACAAATGTCTCCTTTCATTATAAAACATTGATGAGATGGCCTTAACTGTTATTTATATCAATTAGCCTGTGGTAAAATTGGTTTCATTATATGTCGTTTTGTCCCGGTTGCAATAACACGATGTTAACCAAGGACTTGCTGTAGTCTTACAAGTACTTAGTCACAGTTTGTGTGCAGCCTCCTATTTTTCCATTGGGATTAGGCTCCCTCTTCTCCTACTCCTTCACCCCTCCCCCACACGAGGGCCTGTGTTCATGTTAAGGAAAGAGCATACCACTGTGCTCATGTCTTGGGCCCAGCTCTTTTGCAGCTCTCAGGAGCTTGAAGCTATTACCCAGTCTAAACAGGGCCAGGGGTTCATTGCCCATGTCACAGGGCTGGTGAATCTTAGTGTCCCCAGCGATAGGGTAAAAATCTAATGAGTGAGGAATGTAAGGGTCCCAACATTATTTCCTACACCAAGAACCTTAGTGACAGATAGGAGCCTCTACTGAAGACTTTTTTAAAAAAGAAAAGAAAGAAAAACTACCCTAACCGGTTTGGCTCAGTGGATAGAGCATCAGCCTGCAGACTGAAGGGTCCCAGGTTCGATTCCTATCAAGGGCACATGCCCGACTGTGGGCTGCAGGAGGCAGCCGATCAATGATTCTCTTTTATCATTGATGTTTCTCTCTCCCTCTTCCTTCCCCTCTGAAATCAATAAAGATATATTAAAATAAAGAAAGAAAAAAAGAAAAACTTGGTGTCTATAATATAATACATCAGCCCTGGCTGGATGCCTCAGTTGGTTGGAGTGTTGTCCTGTACACGAAAATGTTGTGGGTTTAATTCCCCACTGGGGCACATATGGGAGGCAACCAATCAAAGTTCTCTCTCTCTCCCTCTCTTTCTCTCTCTCCTTCCCTCCTTCTTCCTCTCTCTCTCTCTCAAAAAAAACCCCCACACAATCATATATCAAAATAATTTTAATTGTATGAAAATCCAAACAAATTAAAATAATACAAATACCAGAAGAAAATCTAGGCACATATTTATAAAGAGCCTTGGGGTAGAAAAGGCCTTTTTAAGTAGGACAAGAAATCCCAGGAATCATAAGGGGGGGAGACATATATTTGATTAAACAAATATTAAAGATTTTGGGGTATCAAAAGGCAACATAAACAATAACAAGATAAATCACAGACTAGAAAAATATGCAACAAACATATTAGAAAGTTAATAGTGGTGATGGAAGGAGACTTGACTTGAGGTGGTGAACATACAGTACAGTGTACATACAGATGATGTGTTGTAGAACTGTACACCTGAAACCTGTATAATTTTGTTAACCAGTGTCACCCTAATAAATTCAATCAAAAGGGGGAAAAAGAAAGCTAATAGGCCAAATGTACAAAAGGCTCTAAAGAGAAAATGGACCACAGGATTTGAACAGGTGATTCATGATAGAGAAAACTCAAAGGGCTATTAGACATATGAAAGTACTGTATTACTTAACTCCACTGAGAGCCAGGTCAAAACAGATTGAAACAATGATGGGAGAGCAAGCTTTTCTTACCCGTGCTATTGACTCTAACACCCACTGTTTGTAAGACTGAGAAGAATGGGCCCTCCCATATATTGCTGTGGGAGTGTGAACTGCTAATGGTAAATAACCTTCATACTTTGCTAGTGGGCTAATGCCAGAGGACCAACAGAATTGGACTAACCCTTATTATTTCACTAGAGGCCCAATGCACGAAATTCGTGCATGGGTAGGGGCCCTAGGCCTGGCCGGCAATCAGGGACAATCAGGTTCCCCTCCTACCCGCCTCCTCCTTCCCTGCCACCTGCGCTGCCATGGAGCGGTTCCAGCCTCCTGCTTCCCTTGCTCCCTCAGCACCCCGCCACCACCGCTGGTCGTCCGCCATGTTCCGCACCTCCCCCTGGTGGTCAGTGCACGTCATAGTGAGCAATTGAACTCCCAGTCTCCTGGTCGAACTCCCGAGGGGACATTTTGCATATTAGCCTTTTATATATATATAGATGAGGATGACATAAGGGAACTCTTCTCTGCCTTCCCTGAATCTGGGCCTGGGAGCACTGGGGAGAATACTGCAGCCATTCTCACCCACATGCTCCATTTCTCTGGTGGGAAGCTAAGCAGTCTCCCTATAGCTCACTAAGGGGAGGGTGGGCCCCACACCTTCGAGTAACTGGCTGCATCACTCGAGGCCTACACTGGGGGGGAAACAGATTTGGCCTCTGGATCTCCCAACCCAGCTTTACTAAATGAAGTCACACACTCAACTGGTGGTTTCTTGAGTCTATTTTCAATGTGGTTAGGACCCAGAGAGGATGGGTATAATTAGAACCTCCAAAACCCCAACGGATGGCTTTGCAATCCCTCCCCTTACTTCAAAAAAGCCCAGGCAAAAGGAAACAGGTTCTGCTTTTAAAGCCAAACACAGCATGAAGAAGCAGAAACTGGCCTCTCTTAGATAAAAGCAAAATAATATAGTTCTAATGAACTATTCTATTTTTGTCAATACATTTGGATATTTCTGTGGTAATTCACATGATGAACAAATGCCATCTACAATTCTTAAGCAAGTTTTCTGTAGCAAAGTATCCTAATGGCTTTACAGTATCAGCAGGTCACTACAATGCCAAATCCCTTGTGTTCACTGATACCAACAATACAAGTAACTTGGGACCAAGTGAATAGAAAAAAAACAATCATTCTTGAGTTTTACCTCAAACTTAATAGACTAAAAGAATTGCCATCTCAAAGGTCACAAAAGTGATTTTAAAGTCTGAGCAGGTGCCCTAGCTGGTTTGGCTCAGTGGATAGAGCGTCGGCCTGCGGACTGAGGGGTCCCAGGTTCCATTCTGGTCAAGGGCACATGCCCGGTTTGCGGGCTTGATCCCCTGTGTGAGGCGTGCAGGAGGCAGCCAATCAATGATTCTCTCTTATTATTGATGTTTCTATCTCTTGCTCTCTGAAATCAATAAAAAACATTTTTTTAATAAAAAAATAAAGTCCAAGCAGGTGCAGGTGTTATACCTGTATGCAACACTGATACTTTCATTGGTGCTAGAAGTGCTCAACTACGAAAGGGGTCACATCACTTCCAGCTTATACTGTGTCAAGAATTTATAAACCGTGTGATTTATGTTTCTTCATTTCCATGTGTGTGTTTGTGTGTGTGTGTGTGTGTGTGTGCGCGCGCATGCACACACACACCCTGTCTATAGCCAACACTCCACTAGGGTAACTTAAAACAAAATAGGAATTTATTTACAACAATAGCAGATGTCAAAAATAACAGGAACAATATATAACAAATCCAAGAATTATTTTATGAAAAAGGCAAACAATATATACACAAAAGACAAAACAAAACCCAAATGGGCAAAGTTAATTTTTACTTTACCTAAACAGCTACAGATACGGGTTTTCAGATATGAATTACTTAAGTAACATTGGGCCAATTAAACACATACACACTTTCCAGTCCCTCTCTTTTACTTGCTGACTCTTCCTCTGAATTCTTATCCACCTTTGAGGAGTGTAACTTAGGGGAAGCCATACAAGATTAAGTGCAGGCTATTTACATGTGGACTAAAGGATTTACTCACTGACCAGCAGACTCACACTTTAAAAGGGGTAAATCCAAGGTATAAATTGAGTCCCATGTCACCTTTAACTGCTTATCTCTGGCTTGTGTGTATGTGTGTGTTTCTAATCTTTGAAGTTCCTCAAGTGCTCTATAACAGCATTTCCCAAACTTGAGCATGCAGCAGAATTACTTGGAGGACATGTTAAGACACAAGATCACTGGGTCCCACACCCAGTTTTCTGATTCAGTGGGTCTTGGGTAGGGCTGAGAATTTGGCAGCACTTGAAAATCACTGCTCTGAAACAGCAACCCTGTAAGAGTTTGGTCATGATTTTCTTTATATTAATTCTAGAATTTGTGGGAGCTCAAGGAAATTGTCAATACTAAGATTCCCAGAGAACAGAGTAATGCACTGCCTGGGATCACAGCCTGGTATGATGTTATCTGTCAGGCATTTTATTACAAACCAGTTTCTCAGCATGCTACAATTTTCTGTCCAATTTATGGCTCTGCACAGTGACATTCACCATGTCCTCTTGATCCTTTACCTCAAGTTTTTATTATTTACTGTCTCAACTATTAGACAAATATTTATTCCTACATAGTTGAAGATCAGCAGGATCTCATCTTTAAAAATCAATGACTGAAATCTATCTTGTTCTTTTGTAAGTCCTGATAACTTTTACCTAACTTCTCTTATTATGACAATGACCATTCTCTAGTATTTATTGTCGTCTAGAACCCTCCAACTGGGCACAAAGGGGAAACTCTAGGGCAGGGTTTCTGTGGTGGAGGTGGGGACAACCCCCACTGACCCAATGTGCAATGCATTGATACTAAAATGAACTTAAGTGCTCTCAAAAACCACTTTATGCAAGGGAAATTTATCTCCGGGTAACTGGAGATGCTAATAAAACAAATCCTTTATGAAGATAAAAGAAAAAAATAAATTTCAAGGACATGCTCATCAAAGGACTCACCAATCACCTCTTAACTCCTCTGAATTACTTGCAAATCCGCAGGGCTGAAATATTATCAGTATTTGCATTCAAGTCATAAAATTCAAAGCAATCAAGCATTTTGAATTCCACTGCTGCATAAAAGGAATTAAGAAATGGGGAAATGAAAATAAACCACTGCTTTTGATGTTTATTAGGTTTACAAAAACTGTACATTTTTTTTTCTTAAGAAAAAGCATTAACTTAGTACTGGTATCAAATAGACTAAACATTCAGTAACAGGAAAATATTCTGATTTTTATTTTTGCACATTATTCTCAAGTACACAATTACAATAATGTCACACATCCCTATATGATTTTCTTTTTATGTATTTTACTTTTTTTACAAAGTGTACAGAGGGAGGGACATACAATATTTAATAGGATATTTCTACAGAACAATAACTTATATTATGTCCTTGTAAAAATCTGTACCTCTTTAAAACATTTAACTGAAACATCCATTTTTTTTAGCTTTGCTAATCAAAATTGTTTTAAGTAAAACTAGGTTGTAACTAATGTCAGTACATAACAGTGACTACAATTTCATTTTCTCTTTATACAGACAAATACATTTTATCATATTCACTTGACCAAACCCTTAAATACCTTTTAAAGGTTTCAATATTGTGCTTTAAAAAGAAAAGAACTGTGTATGATTCCAGACTATGTAAGAGAAATATAAAGTGTGTAAAATGCTGTGTTCTTTATCTTTCAGCTTATTTAAAAAAATATAATGACCAATTATATTTTCTGTATTAATTTTATAGGATGTTTTAAAATTAATAAATTTCCACTTTCATTTAAGTGTTTTACATTATCTCTGGGAAAAATTAAAAATTAGGGAAATTTTAAAGGTTCTCAAAAAAACAGAGCTTTCAAGAATAGTACTGCAGGGCAATGAATCACACAATTTTAAGTTACTTTTTTTTAAAAAGCACGTTATAGCGGCCAAGAGGGCACAGGAGCTCCCACTGGGACAGGCCCATGCCTTGGTTTTGACTGGCATTCAGGTTGGAGTTCATACCAGCTTAAAAGTACTTGACTTAGAACTGAAGTAAATCAATCCAGTACTTCAGAGGCTTGTCAAACACACGATATTTAGAGTTCTAATCCTATAAACTCTTGAATACAGATCAACGGCAAAGAGAAAGATGAAAGGTAAAAACCTAAAAGCACAAAGAGGATGGAGCACCATAATGAAGTGGCAAGGCAGCTATCAAGTGGGAAGAAAAGTCCAAAATCTCCCATGACGTGCCAGGTACTCGTATGTGCTGACAGCCAATTTAAGGACCCCCCCCCCAAAACTGTCTTATGTTCTCTAAAATTTATTCTAACATAACCAAATTCTAATTAACTTTAGCGTTGCTTTTATGAATTTATAAATCTGAGTCTGAACTATTTGTTTAAAAAAAATCAACTCAAAGAAAAATAAAACAGTGAAAGACATGGTGATATTCCAAATAAGGCATCAGATTTTCCTCATGCACTTAAAACATACCTTTAATGTTATGTTCTAATCAAAGCCAACTTGAGCATTAAGTGTTTGAAAGTTTCCTAACTACAACTAAGAAATAACAGAGTAGGCTGAACTTGCCAAGTATAAATCATAATTAGCACCCGATCTCTGATACACGAAGCCATAGCTTCTTTAGTCTCCCTCGCTTGGTAACACAGAGTTCCCTCGGGGGCTTCTCAGAGAGAACTGAGGAAGGTCTGTCCGGATACTCGTTAACTTTTCAGAAAAATATAAAGGCATGGAGCTGAAGGTGTATGAAAACATTCTATCTAGAAACATCTTAACTTCTATTTTTCAATTACCAAAGATATTTAAAAGAAAATACCTTTACTCTTTAAAAATACGAGTGTCCTTATTTTCCTTCTAATTCTTCACCTGAGTAGTCTCTCTGAAGAGCATGCTTTACAAAATGCTCTCATACATCCCTGCATCTTTCATGTTATTGTAAATTTAATACTTTTCATTATAGATTTTAAACAACTACTACTTGGGGTTGTGTGTATAAATATGTAAAATAAGCAATACACACAGATACATGTTTTATATATATATGTGCATATACATAGTTCAGGGTACATATACATATATAAAGTTGCAAAAGATCCTATGAGCCACAAATTACCTCTAGGAGATTCCAAAATGCAGTCCTCAATAAGTCTCATTTGTAGCACACAACCATTCCAAGACAAAGCAGCACAGACAGAATAATCAAAATACAACAGGATCAAGCAAAATTTGTCAATAAAGTTTTCTAAGACTTTGCTATGCAGACAGAAGATGTAAATACTCCAAAGAAAGCCCCCCAAAGATATATTTTGTCCACTAAACAAAATGAAAAGTAAGCACAAACCCACCCACTGTTCTTTACTCAGCAATGCCAGGGATGCAAAGCTCAAATGGAAACTTTCGTTGTCATGTGGTCTGAAAAGATTAAGCAAGACAAGTACATGACTTTCGTGTTAGCCTAATTGGACGTGACTGTTAAATCTCCCATTTATGTTAGATGTCTCTGACAATTTTATTGTAAGAAATTTATGGGGGGGGGGGGGGAATAGTTACTCTGAAAGTAATCATGTTGACTCAATCTAAAGTTACCCTAGCTTTATGTTAAATGGTCTTAGAAGAGTACCATTAAGATAATAAGCAAGGTAAATATTTAAATAAATATAAAACTAATAGAAAATTTCAGTATAGAAGGATTACTTCATTAAAAGCAACTTGCTTGTTGCTGCTTTTCCCCATTAATTAAACAAACTGAATAGAATTCAGAACACACTACTGAACAAAATGTTTAAAAAAAAAGTCAACTACAAGCAATACTCTATTTGTACACAGAATAAATCAATATACAGTATTGTATGTGAACAAGACTGATTGGCTTTAAGATGAATTTTCTGCTCCAAGGCCTGCATCTCCACAAACGTCTGTAGAAGTATTGTTAGGGCAGGCCCACTTCTTTATGATGCCGCATTATGTGCTGGTTCTTTTCCGAAGGTCTCCGGAACCCTTTCTTGCAGTACTCACAACGGTGAGGGTAGTCTTTTGTATGAATGGAAATAACATGCCGTTTAAAGCCTGAGGCATCTGTAGTGCTATACTCACAGTACTCACACTGATATACCTTCCTGCCACTGTGTGTCTTCATGTGCTTTTTAAGCTCATTCTGCTGCCTAAATCCCTTTCTACATCTCTTGCACCTAAACGGAAGATCTTTTGTGTGAACCGAGAGAATATGGCGACTTAGAACGAATGGATCTGCAATCTTAAAGTCACAATGTCTACACTGGTGCATTTTTTTACCCTTGTGGGCAGCCACGTGTTTCTTAAGTTCTGAAGGCCTATGGAAGCCTTTATCACACATGTCACACTTATGGGGGTAGTCTTTCGTGTGAACTGAAATTATGTGTCGTTTCAAATCACTGGAGTTTGAACTCTTGTGGTCGCAATGCAAACACTGGTGTGTTTTGCTTTCTTGGTGAATAAGAGCATGTTGCTGCACCTCTTTGGTATCTGAGAAAGTCAGAAGACAAATGTCACACTTGAATGGCATCTCTTTACTATGCTTAGTTTTTACGTGCGTTTTCAAGTTGGAAGAGTCTGCAGACCTGTATTCGCAGTACTGGCATTGGTACGGCTTCTCCCCAGTATGGATGCGCATGTGCTTTTTGAGCTCTGAGGGGTGACGAAAACCTTTACCGCACTCCACGCAGATGTGAGGAAAGTTCTTGCTGTGGACCGCCAAAAGATGGCGGTTCAATAACCCTTGTTCAGCTGTTTCATATTCACAAAATTTACACTTGTACATTTTGTTGGCTCCTTTTTCCTTATGCACCATTTTGTGAGTAAACAAAGCCCCAGCATGAGAGAAATGCTTCCCACATTCATCGCATTCGATGGCCTTCTCTGTCTTGCTGGTCAGCTTGTGGCTCTCCAGGTGGTTGTGTAAACTTATCTTCTTGTTGGTAGTGTAATCACAGTCAGTACAGCGGTACTTCTTCTTGGCAAGGTGTTCAGGGTGGTTTTTCATGTGCCTTTTCAAAAAACCTCTGGACTTAAACTTTTTCCCACAAATCATGCAAGGATAGACAGTCAAGGGATGTCCATCAGGGCCAATTATTATTGCTAAGAAAGGAAAAGAAAGGTACGTGAGAGATCAAACCAAGTTCTATTTTGGTTTCATCAAGAATTTAAAGGGTGTGTTCTGGACATTATTGGGCAAATACTCTTAAGTTAAGCTATTTGCTACTTAACATTCCTTTTAGCATTTTTCAACATAGGAGATATATCAACCTTGTCATAAAGAGGAACCTGGTCTGCAAACTTTATTCGGTATGACTGTACCAACCTCACTCCCTCCAGTTTAAAACAATACATGAATATGTAACTTCTATCAACTAGTGATTAAAGCTATTATTATCAATTTAGAAATCAGTGGGAAATTATTCATAAAAATAAAGTGTTGTAATCACAATTTCTTCTTTGGTTATTCCAAAAACATAATTTATGTCAACTTACAGTAAAGCTTAAATGGGCATACAAGAATAGACAGGAATACATCACATGACCTTAAGTACCTGTTCTGCTGCTCTGTAAAGTATGCCTCTTTACGCTGACATAATCAGATTCTTTTAATATACTACTTTTAAAAAAGTTAATGTTTGTAACATATTTGGAACATATTTCATTTCCACACAAAAAAAATCACTGAGTTTTTAATTATTTCCATCCATGTTCGATCCATTCCGTTTCTTTTTATCCAAGAAAATCATTCATGAATATCACTGAATTCTTAAAATTATATTTTCAACTTTGATACGCAAAAGTTACATGTGGTCTAGCAGCTAAAATGCCATCACAACACCTCTGTGGATACATACTAGTTTCATCTGAGAGCTCGCAAAGCACGCTGCGCTGTGGAACTCGTGTGCCCTCACCTGTTTGGTACTGCCTGGAATCAGGTCTTCTCCTTTTCTTTGGTTTTTGTTTAGCCAGTCTGCCGAGCCCAGCAGACTCATCTATGTGCAAGAGGGCACTTGCAGTGCCATTCCGGTTTTCAATTCCATCAGAATTATTACCTAACGATGCGCATTAAAAAACAAAATTATACTGTATTATAAATTATAAAGAATTAGGGATTCTTTATTAACTACAACAACAAAAAGTAAGCCATGATACTCATGAATGACAGAAATTCCCCATTCTAGATAATGGGTTTCATGACCATATTTATTATAACAAGACCGGAAGAAATGGCCGAGCTTCCAAATCTAAAAAACACGTCAGCATTTTGCCCCATGGACTCTCTTGTCTCCCAAAATTGAAAAGGCATGGGACAGATATAATCAAGATAAAAGTTTCAGCTTGAAAGCCTGTATGCTTCTTGTAGTACTTCCTTCTACATGCTATAAACATGAAGAAAAATCTTGTTAAAAACAAAGACAAAAAGTAGACTTTATAATCTTCCACTACTCCTGTTCAAATCAAGTAACCATTATAGGGTACTGGCATTTCAGATTTCTGAAACCTAAAACCACAGAAAACATCTTTCAAGCATGAATTCACATTCAAGAACCAACTCAATTGGAAGAGCTGCCTATGCAACTTACCGTAAGCTGCTGCCCACGCTATTGGCATGAAGGTTTTGATTTCATTGTCATCGATTTGCTGTTCGTGTGCGGCGGCTGCTGCGGCTGCTGCAGCGGCATCCTCTTCTCCTACGATCACTTCCATATAAACTTCATCAGCAATTTCAGCAACATCTAAATAGAAAATTATATAAACTTTTGTGACCAGGTTTACAGACATTACAGGAAAGATACTGTCATTTGAATTCAATTAATAGACAAGTAGAAAGAAGGTTCAAATGTTATATACCTAGAACACAGTTTTCGCATATAAGCACTCAAATATTTGAATGAATCATTCATTTCTTGGTTTTCACCATAATTCATTTTTTCATTGTTGACACTATTAGTTTTTCAATAAAGTTCTTGGAATACATGAGTTATTGGTGTTTCCCTTGGAATACGGCAGCATAACAATCTCTACAATAATGCTACTTGTTTCCTTTAAATATTGGCCATATTTAAAATTTTTTATTTTTTGTTAATCCTCACCTGAGGTTATTTTTTTCCATTGATTTTTGGAGAGAGTGGAAGAAAGGGGGAGAGACAGAGAGAGAAACATCGATATGAGAGAGACACATAGATCGGTTGCCTCCCACACGCACCCCGACTGGGGCTGGGGATGGAGCCTGCAACCGAGGTACATGCCCTTGACTGGAATCGAACCTGGGACCCTTCAGTCCACAGGCTGACACTCTATCCACTGAGCCAAACCGGCAAGGGCCATATTTAAAGTTTTTTTTTTAAAAAAAAGAACTACAAGAACATTAAATTTTCTCCCACAAAGACCATCTACTTACTTAAGTCTTCATCTTCTTGCTGAGAGTCATTGACAGTCATATAAACCATCTTTTCCCTTGGCACACGAATACTGCTATTCTGATCAAGTAGTTCAACTCCATGGTCATTCTCAGGCTCACTCTCCACAATGTCTACGGTGCCACCTATTAGGGAAGATGACAGCTCCAAGAATTTATGAGAAAACTTCATTTCCTCCTATTTCACGTATCACATTTTACATACTTTTCTACTGCTACATTGGAAACCTTACTTAAATATAATTTTATTGATTTCAGAAAGGAAGAGAGAGTGGGAGAAAGATAGAAACATCAATGATGAGACAGAATCATTGATCAGCTGCCTCCTGCACACCCCCTACTGGGGATTAAGCCCACAACCAGGGCACTGAACCCCAACCTCCTCGTTCATAGGTGGATGCCCAACCACTGAGCCACGCTGGCCGGGCTGGAAACCTTGATTAAAAGTTATCTTCAGAAAAGGTTTCAAATGTTCTCAATCTAATCCACCCAAAAGTAATCAGGTTGAAGTGTTTAGATCAGGATGAGTAATATGTTGAAGGTGTCCTCTTACCTAAGTCATCCTCTCCAGGGTCAGCTTTAAAAATGTACACCTTGATGACTTCAGGGCAAGAACCATCCACTTTACAAGGATCAATTTCTGACTCTGTCATTCCAGAGGAACCACCATGTTCTATTTTGCCAGCATCATCCACTAAAAAGGCAGGGAACACATTACAAATAACATTAGTAGGTATTTAAATGTTAGCATTTTCAAAAGTCTTTTTTTTACAAATATAATCTTTAACTTGATTCACATAAAAATGAACGATTTTACCTAGACAAGTAGACATACGGAGCATGATGGGAAATGTGCCAATAGCTAAGCTAAAGCCTGTCACAAAGGGTCTTGTGTAACCAGGCAGAGAAGATCAGACTTGATCCTTGGCTGGTGGTTTCTCAATCTTGTCAGGTGTCAAAATCTCTTTGGGAACTTAGAAACAAAGGCCAGCAACCAGCAGTTCTACAGAATCAGAATCTGCAGGAGTGGGACCTGATATATAGACAGATTAAGAGGTGCCCTACCCTAGGGATTCTGATCAGAGTTTTGAGAACCTTTGCTATAGGTGATGGGACACTTTTAAGCCAAGCAGTGACAAGGTGAGACCACCATTTTTGCTATACCATGCTGGCCTTGAGAAAGGTGGATCCAAAGGGGTTAGGACATGAAACAGGATACCACTTGTGAATCTACTTCAATAATGCAGGCGACAGATACCAAGACCTCGAATCGGGCAGAGGCAATACAGATGGGGAAGAGGGCTGGACTTGAGGCCTATCTTAGAACTAAAATGGCAGCACTTGATGCCCAACTAAAAATTGAACATGACAAGGATAACTATAGGATTTCTGATTTGGGTGATAAACAACTAGGTGAAGAAATGTTAAGAGAAATGAGGAAAAGGATCTCTCTTCCTACATGTTAATTTAATTAAGGTCCAAGGGATAACATCTCTGAAAGCTCTCAGAGCTGGTGTCTGTCCCTATCCCTCTGTACTCATAGCACACTTTGACTGTTTCTCTAAGTGTACAATTCACTATATTGCTACTATCTGAGGTTTTCCACCTATCTTTCCCATTGACAGAGTAGAACCTGTATTTTCATTATTCAGTCTTTTAAGATAGAGTCTGGTGATAGATGATCAGAATATTGATGAATCAATGATTTCATGAGTGGCTAAGATGTGAAGTCAGTTGCTGGATATTCCAGTCTGAAAGCTGAAGGCTGACACACAGATTTGGGAGCCCATCAGCTCCATGCTAACCAAGCCTTGAGATCATAGAATGAGAACCTGCAGTATGAGGCAAGAGCGGGCTGAGAAAATCCTGGGAATGTCATAGTCTAAGGGAGGGACAAGAAGAGTTCAGAAAGGAAAGCTGGAGAGGTTGATGGAGAGTCATAAAGGAAGCCAGGGAGCTAAAAGTTCTGAGAATTCTAGTAAGACCCATGGCAATAATACAGCATGCACTATTCAAGGAGGAATGTCTGCATTGACCAGAGTCACCTAGAAGTCATTGAAGTTCCTGGTGAAAAGTAGTGTGGTGAAGGCTATATGGGGTCAGATGTGGATTGAGGATTCAATGGAAGCTATGAATTTCTTTATGAAGTCTAATTTTACCGTGAACAAAGAGGCAGTGACTAGAATGGGTTGCACGGTCAAGGACTTTTCTGTTTGAGAAAAATACTTATGCATGCTCAATCTGTAGGAGAAAATATAATAGAAAGTGATGGGCTGAAACCAGACATGATAGGAAATTTATAGATCAAGATCTCAAAGGAAAAGGGAAACGGAAACAAAACTAGGTGCAAAGATAAAGGAGCCCTGGCTGGTGTGGCTCAGTTGACTGAATGTGATCCTGTGCAACAAAAGGACTCCAGTTTTGATTCCCATGCCTGGGTTGCAGGCTCGATCCCCGGTAGGGGGGGGGGTGCAGGAGGGGGCCAATCAATGCTTCTCTCCCTCTCTTAAAAAAAAATCAATAAAAGCATTTTTTTCAAAAGGTAAAGGAATTTTCCTTAAATAGGAGAAATTTGCTATACCTTCTGAGATGAGAAGGTAAACATGGATGAGAACATAGCTACATTGTGTTTAGGGAAAGGAGGAAGGTTGTGATGCAGAAAATTGGAGGAGTTCATGACTGGTGACTTCAACCGTAGATATGAAACAGGAAGGAAGGACTTGGTTACCAGTGAGAGAATGGCAGACTGAGTTAAGAGCTTAAAAAGCCAGAGAAAATGAGTTGATCCAGGACAAGCTTGATGATATGAAGGGTCAGAGACCAGTTGGTTAAACTCTGCAGTTTAAAAATAGAGAGGTTCTCTGAACTCTGAACATAACTACCTATATTCAAGTATCTTGACTACATTTTATAAAAATGGTTTGTAGGGGGGAAGAATCAGCATTATGTCCTTATTTCTGGCCTGATGTGTACCTGCCCTTTTTCAAAGCTAAATATTTTCATGATATACCCAAGCTGATTGAGCCAATGTGATTTTCTTAAAGATAGCTTTGGAATTTTAAGCTGAAATAACATAAGGATGAAGATCTCACCAAACTAGCAGGAAAGTCCTGAATAAATTTATGTCTTCAAAGAACTCATCTCTGACAGGTGATATTGTTGATGAAGCTTGGCCTCTTCTGGCAAGGTTTGTCCAAACTGATTCTAACAAGTACTAGAAAATCAAATGCCCTTGTGTTTACAAAGAACAAGGTCAGGCTAGCTGTTTTTGGGTACACTAGTTTGTCAGTACTCATAAGATAAACCTTTGATGATTGGAAAATCTAATCATTTTTGAGCTTACAAAATGTCATGTATTTACCTATAACTTGAGCTAAAAGACTTTTCTGTTTGTTTTCATAAATGTGTGGGAAACACATTTCAAATATACAGGCTTACCGGAGCCAAGCAGTTGTTCTACCATTTGACAAAAGTAGAATTCAGATTTTCACCTTGAGAATTTGCCCCACTAACTCAACCTATGAAATTATTCTAAATATGAAATATTACAGAAGTGATTTGTTTTAAAAAATACTTTGCTGGTTCTCTTACTCAAAATTTCACTCTGATTTTAATGCTATCATTAAAAATGAATTTCTATTAAAAACAGATAAAGAAGGCTTAGATAAAATTGAGTCATCATACCTATGATCTCTGCGTAAGTGCCTTCTTCTAATGCAGTAAAATGAAGAACTAGAGCTTTAGAATAGACCTCTCCAAAATAGAAGAGCATAATTCTTGAAAATTAAGACTACTTCTAATAATAACTACCATTTGCATGGCATTTCACAATTTCCTTAGCATTTCCTATGTACTTTTACTTATTTGATTCTCAACTTTTCCAGATAAAGAAATAAAGGCTCTGAGATGGTATGTGACTTGCCCAAATAGGTGAACTAATAAGTGAGAAGTGGGAGACAGAGTGAGGAGGTACCTGTCTTTAGAATCCAGATCTTTATTTTCATCTTTTGATTTTTTAAGAAATTTATGTTCACTGTATATAATTTAGTATTTTAAAAAATCAACAATAGTCCCACCAACCAGAGATTCTATCATTATCTTAGTAAATTTGCTTCCCAGTTTTTTAAGTAAAATTGGCATCACATTTTCCTCCAGCCTTATGGAATAATAATCTTTGTATCTCATCCAACAGTTTTAAACTGTGAAACTAAAGAAAAAATTGACTTAGCAATTATCTCATTATTAATAGCAAAACTATGGCAAAATATAGGCATATTTTATACTGCTTCAAGGGAGCTTCAGTAAAATCCCTGAAGACCAAAAATTAAGGGTTGCTTATTTGCAATACTAACAGATGCTATGGAGTCTAAAAATATAGTTCATTAAGACTTCAGAAAACTCAGTAGTTTCTGAAAATAAAAATTACTTGGGGGTGGGGGGTTTAGGGGATACACCACTTCAAGCAAACTGCTTCATAAAGGAACACTGATCTAATTTAAAAATCAGCAAAACGAAGCTGATTTGGAGAACATTTGATGGAGAATCTATATAATAAGAAATAACAATGGTTGTGATAATAACACCAAATATTTACCTACCACATACCACATGCCAAGCATGATACTAAGCCCTTAAAATATACCATTTACTCCTCACAACAACCTTATAAAACAGGTGATGTTTTGTTATTCTCACCTCTCAAAGCTTCAAAACAGATTTCGTTATAATTTTTGCCAAGATAGAAAAATACATGGTATCGGATTGCTATAGAATTGTATTTTGTGTACATTAACATCGTAAAAAGAGACATCACACCAAAATCCCTTAGACACTGCCCTGGGTCAGCTTTCTTAAAACAAAGATCCAGTCACCTTACTCTCTAGCAGGTAATGGTGCCCCATTTCCTACCAAGTAAAATAAAAATTGCAGTCTAGCAACCAAACTCTGACCAAACTGCCTTCTGCCTTCACATTCTTATCTCCTCAGCACCCCCCTGACTATGCCATGTACCCTGAAGTTATTAGTATGTTATTTCCATTCCTTTGTGCTTCTGCAACTTTGCTTTAAATTATATACATATTTATTATAAAAGTTGTACAGCTTATTTAAGAAAAGTATAAAAATAAATTAAAATGTGCTCAAAAGCCCACCATATGGAACTATCAATAAAAATTACAGATTATTCAGACATTTCTAGGCATATTTAGGCATTAAAAGAATGGGAGACAGACTGGACAGAGATTTTTTTTGTGTGTGTGAAAACTGGATAGTGTAACATGCTATTTTTAAACAAAAAATATTATATTAGAATTTACTCAAACTTTAATTCCATTCCCTGGCTTACCAATCCCTTGCCCCACCTCTTTTTTATGGTGAGGAGAGGGGAGGACTACACATCTTTGCCTTATTTGAGCACTTTATTCTTGGTATAAATCTAACTGAAACCAGATTAAACTGAAAACTCTTAATTCATTAATTTTTAGTATTGATTTCTAAATAAATCTGAATGCCTACAGTAAGGACACAGTAACTTTAGATAAACAGAAACTTTAATTTTATCAGAACAAGCTTAAAGCTTGTTTAACATCTTCTCTAAAATATTCTTAGTTCACTAAATTAGACTTTTCTCACATTTCAGAAATATGCCCATACTGATATATTTTTAAAATTCTAAAATTTTATTCTGTGATTTACCAAATGGTTTCAAGGTACAAAATGAAATTGATCGAGTACATACATAAAAGTAACGGTAAGATTTACACAAACCATCAGCCTGTAGGACAAAGAAATAAGCAAATACTTTAGCATGTCTCCTGTGCTAATATCCCCTAGAATAATTCGATTCTAAACCATTAGACTGTATTGATCCTCAGAGTTCATGCACTAAACATAAGGGTTTGCATTCATTCATTCATTCAGTCACTCCCTGAACCACTTTTTATTGGATGTCTACTATGACCAAAGTTGTGCTGAATTAGGAGCTAACATCAAACCAAATGGTCAAAATACCTAAACTAGAAAAGGCCAGGGCCATTAGGCTCCATATCTGCAAGGGTGCCATTCACACTATAGCTGGACAGCTGACAGCTCCATGCAGCAATCCTGTAGACAGATCTCTAGCATGTCTAAATGTATTCCTCCTCTAGTAATTGGTTTGCCATCTGCCCAGATGCACAAGCCAGAAACCAGGGAGCTTCAAACCCTCCACCTCCCAACTTTAATCCAAATTCCACTTCCTAAATATGTCATGAAGTAACTTTCTGCCAAACTCTACTGCTAGAACCTCATTTCAAACTAGCATCGTCTGTTTCTTACCTGGACTACTAAATCATCTCTCACAGCGTATTTTTTGTTTTTAATTTTAGTCTTCCCTTGTCTGCTCTCAATATTGCCACTAAGATTACTTTTGTAAACTATAACCCTAAGCATATTATTATTAATCGGCTTACAACGCTAATAGCTCCCCACATCAGAAAGGTAAAGCAGGCTTATTGTATTCAAAGGCCTTTATGATTTGTGCCCAATTTTGCGACTCTTACTTCTCAACATTTCCTCCATTCTCATCATTAAAGACATTTGCACTCCAAAGAAAAAGTCTCTGAACAATCAAAGACCTTCCACATTTCCCTGCCTTTAAATATGTTCTCTGCCATTCCTCCCCCCTCAGGTACCCACTGAACATTTTATTCATCCTTCAAATTGAGTTCATCCCAAATTATGTTTAAAAAATATAATAATAATCCCTGTCTTTGATAAATACTTATGAAATAAATATGTGGGATTTGCTTCAAAATAGAGGGAGGAAAATGAATAGGAGATATGAAATAAATTTAGTTATATCTTCAGCCAAGCTCCCATAGAACTTTGGTTTATACTTTCATAGCATTTAGCTCACTCAAGTGTACCAAAAATCTCAACATTTTCTCCCTTTGTGCTCCCAAAATACTTTGTATATCCAGTTATATCTTTTCACACTCAACTATATAATTACCTGTTTCTGTCTGTCTTCTCTCCAAGACTGTGAACTCTTAAAAAGCCAGAAACTTTCACTGTTTATCTCTAACAGCTAACAAGATTCCTAGTTTATCATGGCTGATTAATAAATGTTATTGAATGAAGATATAAGAAAAGTAAACATAGGCAAGAGTAAAAATAATCGTTTAGATGATTCTTTTTTCTCATATAAACATAAATTTGAAAAAAAATAATTTTTTAGGTAGAAAAACAATGGAATAGGGTGTGGAGGCTGACCTCGTGGCTTCTGCTATTAAGGAGTAACTAAGAAAATGTGTAAGCCTCCTGCCCAAATTATTTCCTAACATTGCTAAAATTGGGTTTTCATGAATATTTTAAATGTTAATAATCACTGAAATTCCATATGCCTCCTCTGTCCACCAATCATCACTTTTTATCCCAAACTCTACTGCGTTGTAGTATTAACTTTACACACACATACATATACACACGGACCAAAAAAAGACAATATGAGAGTGGAGTAGACACTTTGTTTTTTCCTTTATTTTGTTTTATTTTAGTTTTTTTTCCTTGCTTTTGGTTTCTTCTTCTTTTTATTTTTTTATTTTTAGTAAGCACTGGAATAAAACTTTTCCCACTGATTTTTTTAGAGAAAGTGAGTGGGAGGGGGCGAGAGCGAGCAATGTCGATGTGAGAGACACAACACCGACTGGTTGCCTCCCCCATGCGCAGGGATCGAGCCTGCAACTGAGGTACCTGCCCTTGACTGAAATCAAACCCATGACCCTTCAGTCTGTAGGCCAACGCTCTTACCACTGAGCCAAACCAGCCAGGGCTGGAATAAAACATCTGATTTCAAATCTTCACCCTAATGCTAACTGGATGTGTAACCTTGAACAAGTTACATAAACTGAGCCTCAGTTACCCAAGTTGTAAAATGGTGATAACACCAACGTTATATGGTTGTTGTAAGGAATATATATATATATATATAAAGTTTTGGAACACAGATACTATTTATTAAAGGTTTACTATTACCTATTTTTATTATTTCCAACTTGTTACAAATCTCCAACTGAAAAATTTTTCTTGGGATAAAAAATCTTGTTTTAAAAAATTTAAAAATTGGCCATAATGACAATCCTAAACATTTCTCCCCTGAAAAGAGAGCTTTATTAACAAATCTCACCAAATAAACTTAATTACATCTTCTGATAAAAATGTCAATTGACTCAAGGGTCATTAGAAGCATTCAGCACACATTACCACCTGAGCTCTTCCTTTGATATATTAATTCAAATGGACTTAAATTATATATATGCCACCAGGCCAAAAGTTTAATAAGCATTAGTTAAGAACTAACCAACCTAATGATTTATTAACATTCAGTTTTTATAAAAGCAGTTGCATATTGTAGAAAATAGTGTTTTGAACACAATTTTATCCTAATGAAAAAGTCAGGGGCCTTAGAATATAAAAACTAAATGGAGATCACGGATACAGTACTGTCATCAAAAGTTTTATTAAAGTTATGGTCTGTACAAAGTAAAATTTCCAATTTTATAATCAACATGTTAAAAATGGTGGCATACTTTCACTTAACCAAACTAGTTTAAAGGGTTCTAAGCTTAAATTATTTGCTATAGCCCTGGCAGGCATGACACAGTGGTTAGAGCGTCAACCACACACTGAAGGATCATGGGGTCGATTCCGGTCAAGAACATGTACCTGGGTTGCAGGTTTGATCCCCACCCCACTTGGGGCGCATTCAGGAGGCAACCAATCGATGTCTCTCTCTCACATCAATGTTTCTCTCTCTCTCCACCCACCCTCCCTCCCTCTCTCTCTAAAAAAATCAATGGGAAAAAATAACCTCAGGTGAGGCTTAACAAAAAAATATGTATTTATTTGCTATAATTTTTAATGTCTTTTTAAAAACTGTTTAAAATAACAAAGTAATATTTTATTAAAATGTGTATTAGAAATGAAGCATCATATTGGTTTATATTAGAATAGAGGCTCTCTGGCCCAGGTTTTTGGCAGAAGGGAACCCCATGCTCCAGAGGCGCATTAGTTGTTTCCTTTGATGTTACTATAAAAGGTAGGCACACCAAGTACCCTAGTCTTCCATAAGAATGCATTATGTTGCCACTGCTTATTAATTCTGCTAATCCTTTAAAAACTGAACTATGCATTTTTGCCTGGACTTTAAGTTTTAGACTTTAATATTTAGGGTAGTAAATTTTGCAAATTCACTACCCACTCCTGACAGCATAAAACTAGTATAAGGATGAGCAGATCCATGGAATAGAATTAAGAGTCCAAAAATTAACCCGTCATATTTATTATCAATTATTTTCAATAAGACCCTGGCTGGGTAGCTCAGCTGGTTAGAGTGTCATCCTGATACACCAAGGTTAAAGGTTCCATGCCTGGTCAGGGCACATATAAGAACCAACCACTGAATGCATAAATAAGTGGAACAACAAATTGATGTCTGTGTCTGTCTCCCTTCCTCTCTCCCTAAAAAAAAAAAAAAAAAAAATAGATAAAATTTTAAAGAATTTGTTTCAATAAGGGTACCAAGAATATTCAATGAGTAAAGAACACCATTTCAACAAATGGTGCTGCAACTGAATATCGATGTGCCAGAGAGAGTAGTTAGCTCATGACCTCACACCATATATAAAAATAAACTCAAAATGGATCAAAAGTCTAAATGTAAGAGTTAGCCCAGCCAGCGTGGCTCAGTGGTTGACCATTGACCTATGAACCAGGAGATCGAGGCTCGATTCCCTGGTAAGGGCATATGCCTGGGTTGTAGGCTCAGTCCCGAGTAGGGAGCGTGCAGGAGGTGATCAATGATTCTCCTTCATCATTGATGTTTCTCTCTCTCCCTCTCCCTTCCTCTCTGAAATCAATAAAAATATATATATTTTAAAAATAGTGAGTCTTTATTTATTTGACGTTTAGTTCCTAAAGCATACTAATTTCCATACTGGGTCAGAGTTGTGGTCTAGCCAACTGAGGACTTGATCTCTGAAAGCAATGCCAAGAAATATGTGTAAGAAGACACAGTTATCCTCCCAGATGTTAAACATTTAGAGGTGTGCTCCAAAACACCTTACTTTTCTTCAATAACCTGAGTCCATCATACTTAAAATCATGTTTTAGAATCATTTGTTTCAATGCTATACCAGAGCCTTTTCCCATGCTATCTATTATATAAGTAGTATTTTACATAAGCATATAAGTATTACATAAGTACTAACATACATGCATATACAAGAATATAAGTAGTTTGGTTATACATTTTTTTCCAATTTAAACTCCTTTTACGTTTCAATAGGGTTCCTAATTCTAATAAAGGCTGGTAACAGCCTAATCACATCCTTCATGATTTCAAAGTTCAGTTCTATTCCTTCCCGTCTTTGTCTTTCTAGACTGAAGAAATTTCATCTTTCTATTGTGTCCTTATAAGAGAGAAAAGATGCTTTAATTTGTACAATTTTACGTTTCTTAATTTTGAGTTATCTTACAGGCTCCAAACTGAAACAACAATGCAGGAAGGTTTATGAGATTTACTTTTATAGAAGTCAAGAAATTTTCATCTCTGATGTAAGTTAGGAAAGACAGCCTTCAAAAATACCTTTGAGAATCACTGTACCCCAAGACTTACAGGAAATCATAAGGTAGTCCTCACAGTTGTTCTTGTCATCATCTTGCTGGTCCACAGGGATCCCATTGGCATCTATGACTGCTTCCGAGGCACAATCTGCTACCAACACTTCTTCTGAAACTACATCCGTTGTCAGAGGATCAGTGACAATTTCGGCCTCAACTACACTATCATGAACCACGTGTTCAACGTGTCCAACGTCAGACACATGTATAGATTCACTTGTCAAGACGTGTTCTGGTATAGACATTGATGAAGTAATATCGGAAGCTAAAACATCATCTGGGACTGTGCAATGTTCTAAAGAAACTTCTTCAGTTACATCTGAGTCCAGCACTTGCTCAGGAATGATGACCGTTTCAGATACATCTGATTCTTCCATGATATCTGGGCACTGAACATCTTCTATAACAACGTCCTCGATAACATCTTGGATTACAACTGAGTCTGGGTCATCAGGAACAAAGTTATGCACAGTTATGTCTGAATCCACAACATCTGAAACAAAAACGGTTTCTTGAACTTCCACAACAATTTGATCACCATCCATGTGTGCAGCATCAGTTCCTTAAAAAAAAAAAAATTTAAAAGCACAATTTCAAGTAGGCATGTATGACTGCCTCAGCTAATGTAAATGTTATTTAATTTCTACCAGGAAAACAGACTAGTTCCTCAGTTTTCTCAAACATTCATATAGATTAAAAAATTAAAAGGGAATCTATTTTTGAATATCAGAAATGAAAAATTTTAATATTAAGAACTTTTTATACTCATCCCAAATCAATTGATAAGAAAATAGAAAAACCAAGCAATTGAGGCAGTCACAAAATAAAAATGTTCATGAAAGTAAAATTCTAGGCTCACTAAAATTAAATCCATATGCATATACTTAAGGGATGATTATAAAAATTAATAAGTAAAGCAACTTCAGGTGGCAAATATACCATTTTCCTTTATTATGTGTTTTTCATCTCTTTCACCTTGCTCCATTTCTCCCTCAACTAATACTTTATCTTCTTTCCATCTCTCCCATGTATTTCTTTTAGTTCCCTTCCATTTTTCTCCTCTTTCCCCCTTTGTTCTGATATAATATCTCATCAATATCCTATATTTATGACTATGGAAATTTAGAAATTATCCTCTGAATCTAAGATGTGAAAGGACTGGGGCATAAATAAAAGAGGGCTAGGGCGGGGGCTGGGTGGAGGGGGGCAAAAGTGGGTAAAATGGGGACATCTGTAATAGTGTCAACATGGGGCAGGGGAAAGACAGCTACAAGGCCACAGCTAGAGGAAAGGCAACTAGTTAAGGAGCCTCTGTGAATAGATAAGATGAATAAAAGTGCAACTGCTCTGGAGCAGTAGAGGGTGAGGTTAGTTGGAGCGGGGCCTACCCCAACTTCACCAGGGTACTCTGCCTCCATCCAGCCTCCTTGCATCGCCCCATACCTTAATGCCCCAGGCAGTTCCTCAGAGTATAAGAAACACTACTCTAGTCCACTCTGCAGTTAAGAATAAAGGTACAGGGTTGAATCAATTAAAGCCCAGTGAGATTAAATGACTTCACCAAGATCACACATTTGTACAGATTATGGTACTCAGTAAATATTACTCTGAATAAATGCCACAAATGGGACTCCAAATCAGATATCCTTGTCAAAACACATAAAATACAATAAAACAAATCTGGTATCTTGGCTCCTGGTCCAGAGAAAAGCAAATGAGGTTTTTATAAAAATCTTAGTTAAAAAGCAATTAATTTTAATTAGTGATTCTGGATGTGACTCAAATCAGGCTGAATCCAAGCAGCTGCCTAACTCAATGACTGTGTATCACTGGCCAGGCCCTCAGAGAGACACATGATTTTGTTTAACAAACACAAATGATCAACAGGGGTCAAAGAACCTTTAAAAATGTAGGAAATCTTGAAGCCAATTAATAGCTATTTTAGTTACATCTAGAATAAAAAATGTTTGCTTTATTTTCTATAGAACTTCTACTAAGTGCTTTTATACTCCTTTGTTTTCAATATTCTCAATATTAACATCAAGCAATAGATCACTATAATCTCCATTTTACAGATATAAAGATGAAAGCATTTAGTGGCAAGAGCAATAGTTAAAAAATCTAAACCAGAGAACAGGGTTTAGACACTTATTAGTTTTGTGACCTTGGGCAAGTCATTTAACCTCTGAGTTTCGGTTTCCTCATCAGTAAAATGAGGATAGTAGTATCTGCCATGCATACCTCACAGGACTGTTGTGATGATCAAATGGGAAATGTATGGGAAGTATTCTGAAAAACTGTAATGAGAGGTTTCATTATTATTAGGACAAATGAAAATGGAGGCCCTGGCAGATTAAGTGACTTGCTCAAAGATAAACAAACACCATAAGTGTTAACAACCAGGGCTAAAATGAAATAGCCCTTCAATCTACCACTTAGCCCATGACCCAGGATTGCTCAGGACAAGATTAAGCTAGCAAATAATGTATATTTTTCCTCAAAGAGCTTCTTTCTCTTTCAAGCACATTAATTATACATGTTCTAATAAAAGAAGAATTACAACTGCATTTGTTATCAAATTGAAATTACCAAACTTGAGTCAAAGACTATTCTAAATTGTTAAGAAAAATAAACATACCCCTCCAACACATACACACACTGGATTTAGAGATTAAAGAAGTGAAAATTAAAAACCACTAATATTGAATTTCCTGATATAGTTAATTGCTACTTCTTTAATATACTGCAATATGATCATTTTAAGCCCAATGGAAAACTCATTAATATTTTATTTAGAAGGGTAGCTAGCTAGTGTGATATAAAACCATCTTATATCATAAAACCTAGTGTAATCACTTTACGATGTTATGTAATTGGAATGATGGATAACCTAAAATTATGAATAATTTTTTTCTATTTTTAAAACTTCATGAACTTAATTTTCCTTGTACAGTTTGGAGAGTGGGGTAAGACTGTCTTCCTGAAGCAAAAGGCTCCTCTTCTCAACCTGTGAAAGATAGGTTGTAAAAGTAGGATGGGGTCAGAATGTGGAGGGCCTGAGGTTTATAATTTAACTGCTGGGTAATGGAAAACAAAGAAATTACATGATCCATGTGTTACTTTACGATGAGTACTCTGGCTGGGGGACTATATAAAAGAGACTAAGGCCCTGGCCGGTGTGTGGCTCAATTGGTTGAGTGTCATCCATGCGCCAAAAGGTTGCTAGTTCACTCTGGTCTGTGTTCTCAGTGGTTAGAGTGTCAGTCCACGCACTGAAGGGTCTCAGGTTCGATTCCCAGTCAAGGGTACATACCTGAGTTAGGGGTTCACTCCCTAGTTGGGCCATATGTGAGAGGCAACCAGTCGATGTGGCTCTCTCACGTTGATGTCTTTCTTTCTCTCTCCCTCCCTCCTTCCCTCTTTAAAATCAATAAAAATATTTCTTTTTTTAAAACGAGAGACTAAGGACAAAAAAAAGAATAACTTCAAAGTTATTGCAGACTAGGAATGAGATGATAGAGCCTGTCTATGTGGTGGGAAGTAAATATTAGCAACATTTTCAAAGAGAAAACTAACAGGACTTAGTGCTCTAACTGGGCAAGATGAGAGTCCCTGAGGATAACACTGAGGTTTTGATACTGATGCTGTTACTGACAAAAATTTAAGAGTTGGTTGTAGGGGAGCCAAATTTTTAAGGAGGAGAATAATGTGCTCACTTTAATATTTGTAGACTTGACACAAGATACCTAAGTGTGAATATCAATGTGAGAGCCTAGCAATTTGTCCACTCGATAACCAACTCCAAATCCGGTAGATGGAAAATAGAGCAACCCAAATAGTTATACCTGTTGCAGCAAAAAATGAGTTTGGCTCTTGTGGTTGTAATTCAAGTCCATCTTCATCCATGGCCTTTAATTTTCATCAGTCACAGCTCCTAAATTAGGGGGGGAAAAGTAAACCAAGTATTACTTTTATTATATCATGTATTTAAAATGCACCATATTTACATTTCTGAAACACTCGTAAGTATGTCACAGATGAACATCTATCAAAAACATATCTACCTAGCCCTGGCCAGTTTTGCACAGTGGTTAGAGTGTCGGCCCTTGGACTAAAGGGTTGTGGGTTTGATTCCTGGTCAAAGAAACGTACCTGAGTTGCAAGTTCAATCCCTAGCTCCTGGTCAGGGGCACATAGCAGGCAACCAATCGATGAGTCTCTCTCACATCAATGTTTCCCCACCCTCTCTCTCTCTCATCTCCCCCTCCTGTCCACTCTCTCCTCAGGAAGGATTTAAAAAACAAAACAAAACACATCTATCTAAAATAAAAGGGAACTTAATTGATTTCCAATGATAATAGGCATCTATAAGACAAGGCAAGGCAGAGAAATCAAAGAAGTCAACTTTGCCTAGGCTTTTTGCTTGAGATACTGCTTGCATATATCAAGTGCACACATTTTGATTAATTCTGACACATGCTTTTAAACCTATGTAATCACTATACTACCCAGATCAAGATACAGAACATTTCCAGTACCCCAGCACTTGTCTCCTCTCAGTCCATACACCCCACACTCCCACGAGGGTAACTGGTTTTATTAAGGTTCAACTTAAACACACTCTGTACCTTATTGGGGGGAAATTTCTACACGATTTTCATATTACTTTTCTAAATTTAATGTAGTCTGCTTTCAAACAATACATTCAAGATCAGTAAAAACTCAAAGTGCATAATTATAGTAAACACCATTTGGGATTTCTGCCTAACTTATAATGACATCTCTTAACTAACCTTCTGATCTAGAGAAGTAAATTCCCACAGTGTATGTATACTCTCCTGGCCATGTAGTTGACTGGCACTGGCTATAAAATGATAAAAATAAGTTCATCTTTGAGCACAATAAAATCAAAGTCCTGTCCCTGAGAACTAAAACCATGAGCAAGGGTCACTCAGTCTCTTTCTCCTGGTAGCTATTATATAGGAGCTGAGAAAGGCCCTTTTCCAACTTCAGCTTAGACTAGTGAGATAAAGTTTATAAATGAAAAAGAATCCAGTGAATGCCCTCAGAAACAGAGTAGAGAGAGAACAGGGAAGGGAGGCTTACCAGTATTTTTTTAGCTCCTGGCTCTAGAACTTTCTGAGGTCTAACTACAGAACCTTATCTGCCTTGAGTTTGTGCAAGACATCCCAATGACCTCAATGCTCCCTTTTCTACTTAAGTCAAAACTTACAGCAAAAAGAACTTAACCCATAAAATAATATACTACTTAATACTAATGACTGTTTCAAAAGAGCAGACATCAAAGATTGTGGTTTACTCATATTGTAAGTATTGCATAAACCTCCTCCCCCTCATTGGTTTCCTTATCTCTATCTACATTTTCACTTTCTAATCCAACCTAAATAGTACTATTAGACACATCTTTCTGTTACCTTTATCATTTTTTGTTGATAACATAAGCTCTGAATGCTTATTAAAATTTCAAATGACAAGAGTCATTTTTATAATGCATCAGCTAGGTCAGTGGTCGGCAAACTCATTAGTCAACAGAGCCAAATATCAACAGTACAACGATTGAAATTTCTTTTGAGAGCCAAATTTTTTAAACTTAAACTATATAGGAAGGTACATTGTTATGAACTTAATTAGGGTACTCCTAAGGCTTAGGAAGAACCACACTCAAGGGGCCAAAGTTTGCCGACCATGGAGCTAGGTGATGTCATTCCTGCTAAATTTTTAATGGCTCCTGCCATCTTCTAAGTCTGGGGACTAAACTATCTGTCCATCATATTCCCTAACTTTCTTTCGAGCACCTTCCCCCACCATGACACGCACATATTTCAGCTAAACAAAAATGCCCAATGTCCCCAAACTCTATTTGACTCAGGGTTTCTTCTACCTGGATGGAACACCTTTCCCCTATCCTCTTGCTAGAGCCTTTCCCCAAAAACCCCTTCCCCGCCAAAAAAGAAAAAGCTGAAAATCTCTCTCTCCTCTGAATTTCCACAGCAATTTATCCTTTTTCCTTTTTTTCTGATTGTACTTGTTTGCTATAAACCATAGTTATTTATATATGCTTTTCAAATGCTAAAACATATGTGTGTGTTTGTGTATATATTTCTTAAAGAAATATCCATGAGAAACTCAATTAATATTAATAATTGGATTTTCAACATGTCAACTGAGACATATTCTATTTATCAAGAGCAAGCATGTTTCATGTTATTTATTCAAACTGCTTCAAATTAAAAGGACCAATAAAGAAAAACATTTTCAACTATGAAAAATGGAAAGTTGTCAATACTCTCTCCCCACCAAAATCACCCCTGGCCATAATTCTTTTTCACCTTTAAAAAATGTAATTACAAAATGATAAACGTGAATTAAGCTTCTAAGCATAATGATAGACTACTAAAATGAAATTAAGCCAATTAAGAAGGCAATAAATGCAATTCATTAATGCATTAAATGCCCCTCTCCCCAATTCTCCTACATAAACCCAATCCCATCTGCTCTAAGAATTCTCAACCTGCACAATAACTCCTGCACAATCCTCCTTAGCTTTTCTATTGGGGTTGGACAGATAATTAACTCCCTCAATTTTGAAATTCTCTCCTTCCTCGGTTTCTTTAAACTGAGTTCTAGCCCTAACCGGTTTGGCTCAGTGGATAGAGCATCAGCTTGCGGACTCAAGGGTCCCAGGTTCAATTCTTGTCAAGGGCATGTACCTTGGTTGCGGGCACATCCCCAGTAGGGAGTGTGCAGGAGGCAGCTGGATCAATGTTTCTCTTTCATCGATGTTTCTAACTCTCTATCCATCTCCCTTCCTCTCTGTAAAAAATCAATAAAATCTGTTTAAAAAATAAAAAATAAATAAACTGAGTTCTAATTCTCTTCCCACCTTCCCAACTGCTGTTTACTCTGCCTCCCCTCACCCATTATTGCAGCCTTGCCCAAGGTGGTGAGCTCAGTCCTTTTGTTTTCTGCTTCCTCTTTATTCCAAGGTTTCAACTACCATTTACACAAAGGTGATTCCCCAAACACACACACTCAGGCTAGTACCTGACACTTCCACCAGACTGTTGCATATTTTCATCGGGATAAAGACCTGCTTCTCCTGACATGACCACTATGGACTTTTCCTTCTTCTCTGCTTATGCTCAGTCAGGTTGTCAGATCTTATCCATTCCTTGTCCACAACTTCTCAGGAATCTATCCCCCTCCCCCCCTTTTTTTAATTCCCACTGTCACCGTTTACTCTCAGCTTCATATTTACTGATCCCAGGGGACAAAAATAACCTCTCAACTGGCCTTTCATTTTCTGCCACTCCCACAACAAATGACTAGGAACCTTACTACAAGTAAGGGCTGGTGCCAAGTACTGAGGCAGACTAATCCTTCAAAGCATTGCTTTGATCACGGCACTCCCCTGCTCAGAAAGCTTCAGCAGTTCCCCAATATTCAGTGTGCTCTAAGAAATTCACCCAAGCACCATGATAAACTTATCTGCTATATTCTCATCATTGGACATCATACCCATTTCCTAACAGATATTATAGCCCAAATATATTTTTATATTTAATATATTTTTATTGATTTCAGAGAGTGAAAGGAAGAGAGAGAGAGAGAGAGAGAGAGAGAGAGAGAGAGAGAGAGAGAGAGAGAGAGGAGAGAAAGAGAGAAACTCAGGTGATCAGTTAAGTATTCAACGAACAGTTTTGACCGGTTATTTTTCCTTCTGTTTTGTCACCAAATCAGAAAAAAAACATGTTCTGTACTTCCAAGCAGAGATGACTATACTGAACTTTGGGGTTAGAAGTAATTCCTCTGACAATCAGAATGAAACCAATGTTCTTAGAATGGTATCTACTCAGAAGATTCTAAGGGCTGTGATAAAAGGGTGCTCCTGATTTTGCTGCAGGAACTGAGGTCAGAGACCAGTTGAATCTGAAGACAAGTAGAAAGAATCTAACAATTTGGATGAACACATTAAAATTTGGTCCTAAAATGACAAGCCTTCTTAAAACCTTATTTTTCCAAAGCCCCTATTCGTGCTCAGATTAAAAGTTGCCAAAACACCCTCTGAGTTTAGGTGCATTAATATTCTGTGAATACTAGACACTAAACCTTTCAATGCCTTTGTCTTTAAGACTGTAGCTTGATATTAGGAACTGCATACTCTTTCTATCTAGTTTTTCATAAGTAAAGCAGTATAGCCTCCTTAATGAAATGTTGCTATTTAATGCACTCAACAATTTGTCAATACATGTTCATTATATAATATTCTGTATATCATGTATAACTCAATTCTTTGGATCACACTTTGATTTTGTAGTGAAATTTTAAAAAATTAGTTTAGTAGCTTTTGTTGAGATTACGGTCAGAAATCCTATTTATATGTTTCCTCTAATGAAATATTCGGCCTTTAGTTGCATGGAGTGGAGTGTTTGAAGCACTTGGTGTGATCAAAGGATAAAGACAGTGTTTTGACATAATATGAAGTGGAGATTAATTTAGACTACATTTTACCCGATATAAACTAAATAAAAATGTCAGGGGAAAACTTTTTAAAAGGGCAATTTCTGGCAAATGCAGTACATGATAAAGAAAGGTCAGTATTATCTTACTGAACTCCTTAATGAGCAATGTGTCTCCTCGTATTAAAAAATCTTTCTGATAATGCAGAATTATGGGTGGGGTTTTTTTAGATTAAAGCATTCTTGCTTTTATGTTACTTTATTCAAGCTAGTAAGTGCCTTCTTTAGTTTTCTAGCACTACTTGTAAAACTCATGTAATGCAGCATTTACAGTTTTTAAACTTTTAAATATCCTTAAACTATAAAACTTCTTTAAATTACTCTCTTGCCAGATCACCAACATAGTAACTTGACTAATACTGATCCCTACTCTTTCCCTCACCTACATGAACACATGCTTCCTATTACTGTTTTTCCTAAATATATTACTTTGGGTCTGTTAGGTTCTATAAACTCAGTGCTGACACTAACAATGCTTTCTGTACATCATAAACACTGGTGAGAAGATAATTTCAAGCTTTTCAACAACTATAAAATTTTTAAATTGAAAACTGCAGAATTATGGAGTGCTTATACAGTGATCTTTTGCTAATGCAGTTAAGCAGTATGTTTTGTACCTATAACTTAATAAACACTTTAATTTTGTTTTTTTGGGTTTTTTTGTTAATCCTTACCTGAGGATATTTTTTCCACTGATTTTCAGAGAGTGGAAGAGGGGAGGGAGAGAGACAGAAATATACATGTTAGAGAGACATATCAAGTGGTTGCCTCCCACAAGGCCCTCCACTGGGGCCAGGGATCAAACCTGCAACCCAGGTCCGTGCCCCTGACCAGGAATCGAACCCACTAACGCCTCGGTGAGTGGGCCCATGCTCTACCATTGAGCCACACCAGCCAGGGCAATCCTTTAATCTTTTTTTTTTTTTTTTACAATAACAGGCTAGATAATGCAAGGGGCTGGTTTATAGTAAACCTGCTTCTTACATGTCCAACAATGGGCATGCTCCATTGACTATCAGTTCCACTGAGTATCAGTGGCATTAATTCCATATAAATTTGAGAACTGGTCTACCAAAAAAAAAAATTTATTGGGATGACTGGTTAATAAAATCCAGTTAGGGTTTTGACCAGTTGGGCAACAAGCACATCCAGGAGACCAAGCCCTTCACCTTGGAGCACACCATCAACCTGTATCCTCTTTTCAATTATACTTCTGCTACAAAGCAGCACCTCTCTGAGGACAGCTCTGTTGCAGCCAGATTTCAACACATGAGGGTGATATTTGATAAAGTTGAAATGAGGACTGTAGAAAGGGTTCCAATTGTACATGAGCACTGGCTATCCCATGTGTTACTGCTATAGCTGGGAACAACTTTCTTCAAATTACCTGATGGTGAACTTAACCCAGGAGAAGATGAAGTTGAAGGACTAAAATGCTTAATGACAGAGATACTAGGTCGCCAAGGTGGAATCCTGTAAGACTGGGTCATTGATGACTGCTTTGGTAACTGGTAGAGACCAAATTTTGAACATCCTCAGTATCCACATATTCCAGTACATATTACAAAGCCAAAGGAACTTAAGTTGTTTTTGGTTCAACTTCAAGAGAAAACCTTGTTAGCAGTCCCTAAAAATTATAAGCTGGTAGATGCACCATTGTTTGATTTGTGTGGACAATGCACCAGGATATGGGCCCATCATTTCTAGTCTCCTTCAGCTTTTGAGCAGGTTCAATTTTATATACAAATGAATTCCTGCACAGTGGATCAGTAAAAGAAGCCGTCTCTGTGAGCACAGTGTAAAATAAATATGGTAGAAAAGTTTTCTTTGTTGTATCTCTTTCCCAACCACTCAATTGGCACCTGCTTTCTTTTGTTTGAATAGTAAAGTTGATATAAAAGAACTAGATAGTGGTATAAATAAATATGTTCAGTTCGCTTTTGTTTCTACTCATACATTTTGTACATTAAAGAAAGCAGACTTCTAAAAAATAAAAATAAGCTTGACTTTTTTAAATTGTTAATATAGAGAAATACAATTCATTTTTGCATATCAATGTTCCCCAACTACAATGCAATAAAACTAGAAATAAATGTCACAGACCAAAGAAAAAATATTCCATAAATTTTGAAACAAAGTTCTAAATAATTCAATGGGCAATATGAAAATCACAATATATTTAGGACTAAATAATAAAAATCAATTCATATCAAAATCATCACAACCAGTTATAGTTCGAGGAAAATTTATAGTTTTAAAGGCACATATTATAAGAGTAGAAATTAAATATTAATGAGCCAAACCTCCAACTTAAATTTTTTAAATGTTAGAATAAATGCAAATAAAGTAGAAGGAAAGAAATCTTACCAAATGAGCAGAAACACAAAGGGTCAATAAGAACTATTTGAGCCCGGCCGGTGTGGCTGTCAACCCACGAACCAGGAAGTCAGGGTTCGATTCTCGGTCAGGACACATGCCTGGGTTGCAGGCTCGATCCCCAATGGGGGTGAGGGTAATGCTGAAGGCAGCCGATCAATGAGCCTCTCTCATCATTGATGTTTCTCTCTCTCCCTTCCTCTCTCTGAAATCAACCAAAAAAATATATTTTTAAAAGAAACGAACTATTTGAAAAGTCTTAATAACATAGGCAAGTTACTGGCAGTGCTGAAAAAAAGAGGGACAAATTAATCAAATTAGATATTTTAAAGTCAGAGAAACCTATATCTTATACCAATATAATTGAAAAGTTACATTTTTCTGAATAGTCAAGTCCTGAACACGTAGCTCAGTTGGTTAGATATCACCATCCTGATATGCTAAGGTTGCGAGTTCAACTCCCGGTCAATGCACATGCAAGAATCAACCAATAAATGCATAAATAAGTGAAACAACAAATTTCTTCTGTTTCTCTCTCTCTCTCAAATCAATTTTTTAAAAAAAAGTCAAAAAGACTTACCACCACCAAAGAAACTTAAATCAAATCAATTCACAGAAAAGACACCAGGCAGTTTCACAGATGAATTCTAACTTTCAAGAACAGAGTATTAAGTAAAACTTATTTCAAAAAGAAAAAATACTGCCATACTCATCTTATGAAGTTAGCATAACCATGTTTGTTATCAAAACAATACAAAGCCGACATGAAAAAGGAAAAGTACATAGCAATAATCCAGGAAATCCAAAGATAATTTAAAATAGAAAATCTACATCCTCAAGATAGCTGACTGAAACTAATACAATATTGAATGTCAATTGTAATTAAATTTTTTTAATTTAAAAAAAGAAAATCTATGCGATCCATCAAACCAATATATCCAGCAAACACATTAGAAAAATCAACTTCTGTTCACAATGAAAACTAAAATAAGCATAAGAGAATGTAATAAATAACATCTACCCCATCCAAAAAAACCCACTACAATATCATGCTTAATGATAAAATATTAGAAGCACTCTATTCAATTACCTAGACAAGGATGCCTGTTATCAATGCTTTTATTCAACACTGAGCTAGAGACAGTAGTCAATGCAATTAAAAAAAAAAAAAAAGAGCCTTGGCCGGTGTGATTAAATGGTTAGAGCATCGGCACACACACCCAAGAGTTGTGGGTTCCATTCCCAGTCAAGGGCACATACCTGGGTTGCAGGTTCGATCCCCACCCAGGTCTGCACGCATGCCAGGGGCAACCAATCCATGTGTGTCTCTCACAATATTTCTCTTTCTATCTCTCTCTCTCTACCTCTCCTTACCGTCCATTCTCTCTAAAAAAATCAATGGAAAAAAATATCCTCAGGTAAGGATTAACAAAAAGAAAAAAGAAACAGGAGGCGAAATGAATGAAAAATAAAACCTCATCACACACAACTACCTAGAAAATACAGAAGAATTTTAAAGTGTTATTGCTCCCACATTTCATTTATTCTAAAGATACCACCAATTTTAAGTAACACCCTTATTTTATATACAACTAAGAAAAAAACACTGCCAATTAAAGGAATGCCATACTTTATTATTTAGAATTTTCATTTTAGACTTAGAGAAAATTATTTTAGACTTAGACATATTTTTGTATTTTGTGCATATAAAAAAAATAAAAGCAAAAGAAATTGGTAGGGTACTCCTAAAACTTCACATTCAGCGTCCTATGAATTACTTTTCTACTCAAAACTATTCAAACTTTCCTAATAATATTGCCCTCTGCCAAGAGTGTTAGTGAGGCAGCGTTTCTTAAAATGCTCCATTATTATCTTTGGGATTTTCTTTCCAGTCAAACACCCACTTCGCCATTTCTCCTCCCTTAGGTTGTATTGTTTGGCATGAAATAACTATATAACAATGCACATACTCATTTAAGTGATGACAAAATGAAGAGTCTTGATCAAGTTTGTGCAAGTGCAGGCAACAATAACTATATCATGACTGCTACCAGGACAACATTGATTTCAGGACACCATCAATTCAAGATCTATTTTGATTTCAGAGATGTTAAAATGTTAAGGGAGGAAACTAGATCTCAAAATCTATGAAATATTGTAATATGAGAGTTCAGCGGGGTTATATATCAATACATGTAAGTCCATAGTGTTCCCTATACATCAGCTTAGATGCTAAACAGAAATAACTAAAAAAAAAAAAAAAAAAAATCCTATTCACAACAAAAATTACACAGTATCTGGAAAAAGATCTAATGAAAGTTGAGCAAGACTTTATGAAAAACAATAGAGCACACCCAGATTCAAATCCCAGCTCCACTACTTAGCATATATCTATCTGTATCTATATATGTATTCTATAAATTTGATGCAAATACAATAAAAATCCAAGTTTTTCATAGAAACTGACCCAAAAATAAACAAAGGAAGGAAAATAGCTTCCACCTGAAGAAAAAAACATATATTAAGATTTAATTATAAAGCAATCACTATTAAATCACAGTGGTATAGTATGGTTAGTCAACAAATGAAACCAGGAGAAACTAGAAACAGATATGTATATTGTGAGAATATGATAAACCTCAGGAGCTGCATTATAAATCTGTGGGGAGAAAGGCTAAACTACTTGGCAAATCCATATTAAAAAGATAAAATTAGCCCTGGCCAGTGTGGCTCAGTTGCTTGGAGCGTCATCTTGTACATCAAAAGGTGGCAGGTTTGATTCCCAGTCAGGGCACATACCCAGGTTGCAGGTTAAATATAAGGTCAGGGTGCATTAGGAGGTAACTGATTGATGTATCTCTCTATTCCCCCCTCCTTCTAAAATCTATAAAAAATATAAATAAAAATAAATTAAAATTTTAAATTAGCCATGGCTGGTGTTTCTCAATGGTTAGAGGATTGGCCTGCACACCAAAGGGCCATGGGTTCGATTCCCAGTCAAGGGCATAACCTGGGTTGCAGGTTTGTTCCCTGGCCCAGTTGGGGTACATGTGGGAGGCAACCAATCTATGTCTCTCCCTCACATCAAGGTTCGTTCTCGCCGAACCGGTTTGGCTCAGTGGATAGAGCGTCGGCCTGCGGACTCAAGGGTCCCAGGTTCGATTCCGGTCAGGGGCATGTGCCTGGGTTGCGGGCACATCCCCAGTGGGAGATGTGCGGGAGGCGGCTGATCGATGTTTCTCTCCCATCGATGTTTCTAACTCTCTATCTCTCTCTCCCTTCCTCTCTGTAAAGAATCAATAAAATATATTTTAAAAAAAATACTCTTAAAAATAAATAAATAAATAAATAAATAAAATAAATAAAAAGTTCCAGATGAATTAATGACCTAAATATGAAAAAGCACAGCACTATTATAATTTTGGAGGTTGAGGGGGGGAGGGGGAGATGAGACATAAGCCATAAATGAAAGAAAACTGATTACCATCTCATCAAGAAGTCTTATACCAAAAAAAAAAAAAAAAAAATTCCATAAACAAAGCTAAAAGATAAGCCACAGCCTAGGAAATGGTATTTTCAGTGTGTATAATTACAAATTATTAGTATTCAGAATATAAAACTATCCATAAGCCAATGAGAAAAAGACAACCCAATTGAAAAATGGACCAAGGATAGGCACAAGTATGTCATAGAAAACTCAAATGGCAAATAAATAGGGGGGGGGGGGGCTCAATCTCACTAGAAATTTAAGAAATGCAAAATGAAATCAGCTATGAGATATTCTTAACACCCAACAGATTGGAAAACAATATGTAGTGTAATCTTTTGGCATTGGTCTGGAGAAACAGAGGCTCATACACAGCTGGTGAGTGTCAAATAGGACATAATTTGACAATTCCCAGTAAATGTGACAAATGCAGATTCCTGAAAGTAGCAATTCTACTACTATAATCCCAAGAGAGAAGAACCCTGTACAGTATAAAGATGTTCACTGCAGCACTGTTTGGAATTATAGAAAATTGCAAACCAAATGGTCTCTCCATAATAAATGAATCACAATATATTTATACATTGAAATACAAATAAAATGAATGAACTAGATCAATAGTTTTCAAACTTCTTGGTCTCAAGACCCCTTTCACAGCCTTAAAAATTGAGACCTCCAAAAAGTTTTGCTTATGTGGGTTCTATCTATATTTACATTAGAAATTAAATCTGAGGCATTTTTAAAATAATTTATAAATTGATAAAACAATAAACCCACTTTATGTCAACATTACACATTACTATTTTCAAAAAAATAAAAACAGTGAAAAGAATAGCATTATTTTACATTTTTGCAAGCCTCTTTAAAAATCAAGCTTAATAGAAGCCAGCTGGATCCCCTTAACTGCTTGTGTTCAATTTAAGACATCATGTGCCATATAGCCTTTGTACAGTACCGATGCAGTGTACAGAGGAATGCGGCTAGAAGAATCTTAAGAGATCCTTGGGAACTTCTGGAACACACTTTGAGAATCACTAAACTAGATCACATACAACATGGATAAAACTCAAAAACACAATGCTAAGTGAAAAAAATGACAAACAGTATGGTACTGTTCATGTAAAGTGAAAACACACAAAGCAATACATACTTGTTTTTGGTACATACATATTAGGACAGTGGTTAGTTACTTCTGGCAAAGAAAAGACAGGAATGGAATGAGGGGCACTCTTTAACTGAATCTATGAGATTTTCTTTCTTTACACAAACAAAAAATGTTATGAAGCAAATATATAATTAAATATTAAGATCTGTTAAATCTAGGTGATACTTGCTTCTCTGAAATATTTGTAAATTGACACTTGTAATTCTGAAATATTTCATAATTTAAAGTGGACCTCCCTTTGAGTAAATATAGTTGTAAGAATCTGGATTTTATAAAACATTGCTTAGAAAAGTAATTTCACAGGAATAAGAATACACTGGCTATATTAACCCCAAATAGTTAAGCAGTGGGGATGGGGTGGAGGAGTAGTTACTCAACTTATGTGGTGTACCTTAGTATGTATACCCCTTGGTCAAGGGACACACTGACTAGATCAGTGAAGGCGAACCTTTTGAGCTCGGCGTGTCAGCATTTTGAAAAACCCTAACTTAACTCTGGTGCCATGTCACATATGGAAATTTTTTGATATTTGCAACCATAGTAAAACAAAGACTTATATTTCTGATATTTATTTTATATATTTAAATGCCATTTAACAAAGAAAAATCAACCAAAAAAATGAGTTCGTGTCTGACACGCGTGTCATCGGTTCACCATCACTGGACTAGATGATTGAATAGTTGAAAACTATTCAACTACATAAAACTCTCTGCACCCAATAATTAATTGTTTTTAGAGATAATGACCATGTGCCAGGTACTGCTTGGGGACAAGAATAAAAACTGTTTCTACATTGAGAGTTTAGAAAAAATGACAAAAATATAAACACAATTAAAATATAATAAATTAGCCCTGACCAGTGTGGCTCAGTTGGTTGGAGGGTCATCCCTTGCACAGAAGGGTCTTGGGTTTGATTCCCAGTCAGGGCACATACCTAGGTTACAAATTCAATTCCCATTTGGGGTGAGTACGGGAGGCAACTGATTGATGTTTCTCTCTCACATCGATATTTCTCTTTCTCTCTATCCCTCTCCCTTCCTCGCTTTCTAAACTCAATTTTTTTAAAAAACACCAAAAAACATCTCCTTGGGTGAAGAGTAAATGCTAATAAATTAAAGATGTCCACATTGCTATATGAGACAGAGAAAAATGAGCCTGGGAAAATAATGATGCCATTAAGAGAAAGAAAACTAGAAGTAGGTGTTGTTTTAGGGACACTGGGTTTAAAAAAGATTATTTTTCCAATATTGGACATCTATTTACTATGTGCCAGATAAATCTTGTTTCAGCCGTGTTGAGACAGCCGGGAACCTGGGTGGAGATGGTCAGTAGGCAACTGAAAATGATAGATGAGAAACTAAAAGAGAGGATGGGCATGGTATGAAACACTGGAACCCGGAGAGAAGATTTGAGCAAAAAAGGACAGAAGATTGACCTTGACGGAAATTTCATGGTATAAGACAGAGACGGCAAAGAGTTTCTGAAACACAGAATACTTTTATGTGACACACCCAGTGACATGATGTGGAACAGTTACCCAATTTAGGAGTAAGTGGGATGAAAAGAAAAGTACTGGTGAAAGAAAAAAAGACAGGTGAGGTTTTCTGCACGATGAGCAAACCTAGGAATGTTTATAAGGGGAGGGACAGGCACCAGTGGAGTTAGAAGGCAATGATGCAATCGGCAGATTCAGATTCACTAACAGGTCCGTCCCAAAGGAC